ACGCCCAGGGTGGCGATGCCGGCCTCGGCGGCGGCGGCCAGGCCCGAGGCTGCGGCGGACGACGACGAGCCGGGCGGGACGGCGGCCGAAGGGCCCGTGGCGGGCAGGACGCAGACGTAGGCGGCGCACTCGTCGACGACGCCGCCGGCGTTGGCGACGAAGTCGTGTATGGCCGGCCTGGGCGCGTAGCAGGACCCGAAGAGGAAGAGGTCGAGCAGCAGGACCGTGTCGTAGTAGAGCAGGTGGCGCAGCGCCACGCGCGTGAGCTCGAGCGAGACGTCGGCCAGGTAGGCGATGCGGCGCACGTCGTTGACGCCGTCGATGTGGGCGATGACCTTGCGCAGCGTCAGGTCCCACGTGTCGTCGACGGCGTCGGCGAGCCGCATCTTGGCCACCGGCACGTGCCACCCCCTGACCTCGGCGGGAGTGGGGTGGTGCGGGAAGAGCTTCATGTTGATGGTGTTTGCGTCGTCGACGGGTATCATACACTCGCCGTAGTTGTTGAGGTCCTCCTTGACGATCTCGAGCAGCGCCTCGATGGGGCGACGCGGACCCTCATCCCCGGCCGCCCCGACGGGAGAGGAGCCGCCCGGCCCGTCGAGCCCGCTCAGATACTCGTTCTGCTTCTCCATCTCGGCAAAGGTGATGGCCAGGCGGCGGACCACGCGCTCGTAAGGGAGCTGGTCGGCCACCGACAGGCCGGCCTCGACGACCAGGCCAAAGTTGAAGATGAACTCGTTGCGGTCATACTTTGAGTTCACGATGGAGACGGGGAAGCCCAGGACGCAGCACTTGCCCTCCGGGTCGTTGACCGTGATGTAGCGGTTAAAGAAGGCCTTGCGCGGGATGATGTACTCCTGCAGCACGTCAAAGTCGAACAGCGGGGGCTTGTGCACACCCTCGGCAGGCACGATGCATCCTGAGGGGCTCTGGGCTACGATCTTGGTGCCTGCAAAGGGAGATCAGCACCGTGTCTTGTGTGGTTTTTGTCCATGTGTTTCCATGATATACGTACCTTCCTGGGGAAGAAAGCGGGCGTAAAAGATTCCCTGTATCATGATGCTTTATGTGGTTCAGACCAGTACAGGGTAGTGAGGATGAGTGCTGTCCCACGGCGCAGTTCGTCCTACGACCTCACGATGTTTCATGCCATGAAGTCGCTAGCCTGGTTTTCATCTGGGCGATGCCCAATACATCAGCATAAAGAGTGGTGGAAGTTGGTTGCTCGCAATCACAATCGCGATGAATGAAATGCCTGTGTCGCGGCGACAGGGGTTGGAATCAGCTCGAAAACCAATGATTTCACGAACCAGGCCTAAACGGACCCACATTGTTTCGCCTTTTGTATCGCCCAAAAACCGCCCCTGAAGGCTCCCTGACGAGCCCTGTAGCGGTCTCCCTTTAGGCAACCGACAGCCTGAACGGAGAACTCAATTGGTGGGCACGATACTGTCCAGTTTTGGAAATCCGGGCTAGTCAATCTCCTGGAAGCTGTTGCTGTTGGAATACAACCTGATAACCACTGGCTTCATTATGGTCAATTGGCATGAAGGTATGACAATATACTACATGGTGCCCTCTGTCCATTGGTCTTGTGAGAACTGCCTTTTAAATACAGATCTTGCCTCGTCACAGCATAATTCATCCGTGTCGGTGGTACGCAGAGAAAAGAAGACCCTAACCCTGCCCCTGAGCAATATCCAACCCATCGTCTTCATCGCCCTTCGATCACGCTCTGGAACCAGCACCACCTAATTCCGCAACTTCAGCGCGGCTACGGCACAGTGGTCCCCGGCCCCGTCGACCACCCCAAACGTGTGCAGCACCGCCCTGTCGTCGAGGGCTTCCTTGAGCATCTTCGCCTGGGTCCCGCCAAAAGAAGCGCTCCTTGCCGGCCTGTGTTAGAGCATTGTGGGATGAGTCGTGTTACTGGCCATGGTTGGTGTTGGGCTTTTCTTTGGCGGTCTATGGGTATTTATCATGAAATACCTTCAGGTAGGTATAGCTATATGGCTTAGAGTGTGAGAGAATCCTCTGCCTGGGCGTAGTGCGATGTCTCTCCCTCAATCCCCCTTGTCTTGGCGATTTCGACATACATTATATGCCCGTCCTTACCTCTGCCACCCTCCTCTGCCCGAAGTGGTCTGCCCATTCTAGCGACCGCGAGGAGCGAGTAGCAGCAGGCTAGCATGTCTCGCAACGCTGGACGCAGGTCGACGCTTGAGCCGCATTCTGGTAGTGCCAACCACCACACAATCCGATTTCGAGGCTCAATCGTTGGTAGATGCGATGGTGAACAGAAGCGGGCTGCGTAGTCCGTGATTGAGGCAGAGCTCCGGCGTGACCGGCATTGGCTACCATTTACACCATTTGAGTAGATATAATGAGCATTACTTATTCTAACACCCGGAATCGTATATGAGCCGGGACAGAGTATCCCGTCCATGCTGCCCCTGATACTTGAGCGCCACTACACAGTGCCGAAGATTTGATGTTCTTGCTGATGATGTTGGTTTTGCGTGGCGCGATTAAGATACCCGGAAATAACAAAGAGGCGGCAGCTTAGAGCCGAGTCAGGGTGATGCCGAGCTTTATCCTTGAGTAGTGTTTTCTTTTCTTTTGTCCCGCTGTCGCCGTAATTCTTGGACATGGCTGTACCCCAGCCGGCCAGCACCTCTTCCCCAAGGTGTCATCCGAACATCAACCGAGTGGATGCCTGTCTCCTCTTCAGCTCCATATTCGGTCCTTTACAGATGGCCGGCCGCGCCTTACCCCACGGGGGCCCCTCACGATCCCGCTTCGCTAGCACCGTCATGTAGTACACCACATGGCGGGGAATCCGAAGATAGCCCGATCGATATCTAGCTTCTAGTCCGGGAACCGTTACCAGCGGAGCTCTGGACGCCATGCCGATGCATACCCCCTTGTGCCGTGACGCCAGCTGCGCTGCACGTTATTGCCCTCGCCACATCCCGGCCACAGAATTTCTTTCGGGGCCGGGGGCAGACTTGCCGCACTTATAGAGCCATGACTGTCCGAAAGTTGCTGTCTCGTCCCAAGTCCCAAGTGTCTGATCTATGGTGTCTATGTATCTCCCTTGGCTCTGTTTTCTCGTAAATTCTGAGGAAGCAGGCTCTTTGCCGACACCCTCCAGTTATTCTCACACATCGTCTGTTTTACTGCTGTGACAACCCCGAGATGCTTTTCCCGAGGGCTCTAGCTCTTCTGCCTGCCACTGCCTTGGTGCTGGTTGAGGCAGAATGCCACTCGAGGTGCGAGGCTTTTGGGGACACACTGTCGATTCCCAACGTCTCCTTTGTATCCAGTGCGCACTACACCAACGGCGGAAACATCACCCTTGATGGTGTAGTTCAAAGCTGTGCCTGGGGCGGTGGCGTCGGGGTCCGATGGACCGAGGCCACCGGCGACCTCTGCCGGGTCGTTGTCAACGTCACCACCTCCCCCACAAGCGAAGTCCTCGTCGAAGCTTGGCTCCCTGACACCTGGACAGGCCGGTTCCTGGCGACTGGCACCGGTGGACTGGGCGGCTGCGTCGACTATTACGCCTTGCAGAACGGCGTCAGCTCTGGTTTCGCCACGCTGGGGACCAATGCTGGCCACAATGGGTCAGCGGGCTTCGACTTTTTCTTGAACCAGCCCGAGACCATCAACGACTTTGGCCACCGCGCCATCCACGTCGAGGCCGAGGTTGGAAAGGAGCTGTTGGCGCAGTATTATGGCAGCGCGCCTCGCTACAGCTACTACGCGGGCTGCAGCACCGGCGGCCGCCAGGGGTTCATGAACGCCCTCATGTACCCGTCAGACTTTGACGGCGTCGTCACCGGCGCCGCCGCGGTCAGCTGGCTCAACATCGTCGCGTCCAAGGCCGTGCTCGCCCAGCGGCTCGGGTGGCCGGACCTGAGTGATGCGCGCTACGTCCCGCCGTCCTCTTGGCGCGCCATCGAGGCGGCCATGGTCAAGCACCTAGATCCTCTGGACGGGGTGACGGACGGGGTCATCGACAACCCGCACGCCCAATCCTTCAACTTCTCCCTTCTCCGCTGCGGGCCGGACAGCCTCCTCGACCAGAACACGTGCCTGACGGGCGCGCAAGCGGCCGCCGTCGCCCACGTGTACGAGCCCGTCGTCTCGCCCGCCTCGGGGCTCGAGGTCCTCCCCGGCTTCGACCTGGGCGCCAACACAAACGTCTTCTCGGCCAACCAGAGCCCGCGCCCCGGCGCGGCGGGGCTGGCGTACCGGGTGCTCGACGACTACTGGCGCGGCGCCGTCTACAACACCTCGGCCTGGGACTCGCGCGACTTTAACCTGACCCAGATGGACTTTGCCGCCCACGTGAACCCGGGCAGGATCAACTTTGGCGGCGGGCCCTACGAGGGCAGCCACGACCTGTCGGCGTACAAGGCGCGCGGCGGCAAGCTGCTGGCGTACCACGGGCGCATGGACGAGACGGTCACGAGCGCCATCGCCACGCGGACCTTTGACGGCGTCGCCGACGCCACGGGCTCTTCTGCAGAGGAGATGCTCGACTTCTACCGGCTGTTCGCCATCCCCGGCCACAGCCACTGCACGGGCGGCACGGGCGCCTGGGCCATGGGCCAGCCGACCGCGAAGCAGAGCTACTTGAGTTTTGCAGGCACGGGCAGGTTCGCCGACGCCGAGCACAGCATCTTGATGGCCATGGTGCGCTGGGTCGAGGACGGCGTGGCGCCCGCGTGGTTGGTAGGCACCAAGTTTGCGGGCAACGACTTGGTGAATGGGCAGGTGTTGGCGCAAAGGAAACACTGCCCTTGGCCAGCGCTTTCGAGATGGGACGGGATTGGGGACAGTAACAAAGCGGAAAGCTGGCGATGCGAGACGCCAGATCAGTGATTGGCTCTACCCCAGGCAACAAGCAGGCAGCAAGAAGGGTTGGCTTCACTGCAAAGTGGTTATCAACGCAGGACATAAACCATCCTGTTCGATCGTTTTACCTGCACATTTTATATTACGACCAAAGGAAAAGAAAGAAAAAAGAAGATTTAATCTCAAAAAAAGCTTACTGCCCAACCTCGAGGGTGGACAGGTACGAAAATTCCCACTTGGAAAATTTTCTTCGATCCCCAACCGGGGCTCGAACCCAGGACCCAAGCGGCTATTGCAGCGGAGTACAGGTAGGGTCCCGGTGTCGACTCGACCCATCCTCATAACCGCTACACCAACTTGGCGCCCTTTGGTATTCGATGCTGAGAGGAGCATGCCAAATGGTTATAAGCTTGAGGCCTCTCGATGCAGCTGGTTCCTTGACAGGCCGGCCTGATCTCTTCATGAGCAGTAGCCCGAGGCGATTTACATCGCTCACCAGCCTGAAGTATGCACGCAGCCGCTCACTGTTGGAGCTAGGCCCGTGCACCAGCCTGCTACCGACTTCTGCACCGATCCAGAAGGAGCGTTTTCCACCTACAGATAGCAACCATATAAAACAATCAAGCGCCTATCCTCTCACCTTTTGGTGGCCTTGCGAGCCGGCTTGAATACTCTACACTCGCCAGAATGATTGATAGATTTATTTGAATGCAACCACGCTATTACAGCTCTCCATAACAGCAACACGTCGTAAGGTCGTTTCTCGATCGGGTTCCTCCCCGCGTTATTCACGTTGCCCATGGAGATACCGGGCATCGAGAGAGGATGAACAGCATCGCGCGCCAAAATTAGCTCAGCGTGAGAGCAGAAATATAGTTGGTGCGCCTTTCTCATCAAGCTGAGGACCGATAAGGGATTTGCAGCGGCGCTTTGGAGACGACGAATCCTCAATTCAGAGCTGTGCCATGATGGTGCTCGTTTATGTCAATACTCCGCAGCGCAAGAAAACCAGCCCATAGGGTATTCACACTTTCCTTGGTCTGTGACGAGCATCAAGTGTGGAATTTATTATGTACAAGGGAATCATGATATGTACCGCTAGTAAAAGACATGGCCGCGTGATCTGGTATAGCCGCAATGAGACGAGATTAGGAGGGAAAACATGGCGAGAGAAATAAGATCCCATCTACCGCCTGGGAAGCCGAGAGGCGATGGCCTCCTGGGCGACCTTGACCGTCTCTGGCCGCAGCCTCTGGCCGGTCCAGTACCTGTCCTGCGCAATCCCCTGCCAGATCAGGGCCTCGGTGCCCAGGATGACCTGCCAGCCGGCCTCCTCGGCGATGGCGCCCAGCTCGGTGTAGGGGGTGGGGTTGTAGCACATCTCGAGCATGGCGCCCTTCTCGGGCCTGTCCAAGAATGTGCGGATCACGTCCCGGGCCCGCCTCTCCTCGGGCGTAGCGGGCGAGAAGTCCGGGACGCAGGCCACGATGGCGCCCGGGGCCGGCAGGGCGTGGGCCTCGTCGACGGTGCGGACGTGGCGCAGGCGGGCGCCGAAGCCGCGCTGGGCACACTCGCGCTGGACGGCGGCGACCTCGGCGTCGTCGCGGTTGACGACGTAGATCTCGGTCGCGCGCATCCAGCGGTTCAGGGCGTAGACGGCGGAGCGGGCGGCGCCGCCGCCGCCGACGACGAGGGCCGGGCGGCCGTGGAAGACGGCGTCCGGGTCCGCGACGTTCTGGTAGAAGGACTCGCGCACGCCGATGACGTCCGTGTTGGCGCCGCAGAGCAGGCGGCGGCCCGTGGCCGGGTCGGAGCGCAGGAAGAGGGTGTTGCAGGCGCCGACGTCGCGGCACTCCTCTGTGAGTTCGTCCAGGTGGGGGATGATGGCGACCTTGTGTGGCATCGTCACCGAGGCGCCTTTTTGGTGGGTTGACCGGGCCTTGGTTAGAAAAGCTCAGAGGCTTACCATGTATGAGAGAAGAGGGTGGCGCGGCTCACCATAGAAGCTTGGGGCTCGTACCAGCTTCAGGAACAGGTCCATATCTGTGGAGTCGAGACGGACCTGGCCCCAGTTCAGGCCCAGCTCGCGGTAGATGACATCGTGCAGGAAAGGCGAGAAGGACCGTGTCAACTTCTTGCCAAAGAGGTAGCCATGGCGCCCCAGACGGGCCGTCTCTCGCCTCAGGGCCTGGAGCTCAGGCCGGACCTCCGGCTGCGCGACGACCGTGGTGGTGACCGTGGTTGACATGGTTGGTTCTGGAGGGGGAGGGCTTGGGTGGAGAGGATGAGGGTCGTGATCGATTTGGCTGGTGCTGGTAGGGAGGGCGAAACGAAGACGGCTAGCAGCGCTTGGTTTTAGTCTCAGACTGCCCTGGCGTAAGGAAGGGACAACCCAGGCGAATTAATGATTTCTGCGGACCGGACCCGGTGCCCGTTTCCCCTCGTCCCAAAGACCCGCCCCTTGGGACCAGGACCGGTGTAAGGTAGTCCCCCTCTTTTTGGTGTGACACGATTTCCCCTTCTGGCCCCATCTCGTTTGCCCCTTGTGGACCCAAACGCGCCTTGGTCTGGGGTTTGGGCTAAGCAATGGCGATGCCGAGGGACCCCCACATGACGCCAAGCATTGCGGGGCGGAAGAAGACTTAGCCAGCGCCACGTTCCTCTTATCCGGTCCGCCTCTGAGATGAGATCAGCAAACTGCATATTTCCAGGAGTGGGTGTCAAACCACGCACACGCACGCGGCAGATGATATCAGTCTGATACGCAACCGTCCGAGTGTGTCTCCGTCCGACCTGCCTACCTGGCATCCGCGGACCAGTGCCGCTCTCCTGATCCAGCCGCTTATCTTCGGTTCTAGAGAGCCAGAGCCCAGCGTTGCCGAGGGGATATGGCTGGTGACCAAGATTGCTTGATGCTGGAGGTGAAGATATCTGAAGGCAGCCCTGCGTATCATGAAGCGTTGTAGGAATGATGGTCAGCCTCAGGGGGTAAACATGCATCCTATCAATGTACATAAAAACATAGGCAAACAGCTAGGAAGCGAGCCTCCAAGTCCTGTCCCTATATCGACATGTTCGGCTACCTGAATTCCCTTTGGCAGAGCAGCCCTTCGGCTAGTATCAGTAGAGATACTTCCCCCAAGGTCAAGAAAGCAGCCATCGATACCTCCCGCCGCTCCCCCCTGGCCACCAACACCATGGGCTGCCAGCTAGCAATAAGCACCATGTCCCTGGGCCGCTGCTTCGCCGGCCACACCCTGGAGCGGCGGCTCCAGCTGGCCAGCCAGCACGGGTACCGGGGCATAGAGCTCTGGCACGAGGACCTCCTCGACGTGGGCGACCGCCTCGCCGGCGGCAGCGACACGCCAGCCCGGCGCATCCGCGCCGCGTCCCTGGTGCGCGGCATGTGCGTCGCGCTCGGGCTCGAGGTCGTGTGCCTGCAGCCCTTCATGCACTACGAGGCGCTCGCCGACCGCGCCGCGCACGCGCGCCGGCTCGCCGAGCTGGCGCACTGGGTCGACCTCGCGCACGCGCTGGGGACGGACCTCGTCGCCGTCCCGTCGTCGTTCCTCCCCGAGGGCCAGGTCAGCGCCGACGCGGGCCTCGTCGCGGCCGACCTGCGCGCCGCCGCCGACCTCTGCGCCGCCGCCGACCCTCCCTTGCGCCTGACGTACGAGGCCCTCTCGTGGGGCACGCACGTCGACACGTGGGAGGCGTCGTGGGCCGCGGTGCAGGCGGCGGACCGGCCGAACCTGGGAATCTGCCTCGACACGTTCAACATAGGGGCCCGCATCTACGCCGACCCGGCCGACCCGTCCGGCCGCACGGCAGACTGCGACGCCGCCGTGGCCGAGTCCATGGCGCGCCTGGTGCGGGTGGTCGACGTCGCCAAGGTGTTTTACGTCCAGGTCGTCGACGGCGAGCGCCTGCCGGACGGACCCCTGGTCGAAGGCCACCGGTTCCACGTGGCAGGTCAGCTACCGCGCATGAGCTGGTCGCGCAACTGCAGACTCTTCTACCGCGAGGAGGACAGGGGCGCGTACCTCCCTGTCCGGGACATCGCGGCCGCCATATTCAACGGCCTCGGCTTCCGGGGCTGGGTCAGCCTGGAACTGTTCAACCGCCGCATGAACGACGCCGACCCCGAGGTGCCCCGAGAGCTGGCTAGGAGAGGGGTCGAGTCGTGGGACCGGCTTTGCGCCGACATGAGCACGGGGGACGGCGAGTGGGAGTCTGCTGCGGCTGGTGGTCAGGCCGACGATACTTCTGCCGGTGCACATCAACAATACAGCCGGTTATGAGTGTCTGTTGTTTTATCTCGTCGATGATCAAATGCTTCTTCGCGCGGATTTTGTTTTGTAGTATATCTATACCATCTTTTTACACCTCCAGCTACAAGCGTCTCCCTTCCATCCATCCCCTATCAGCCTTCTTCCCCCCATATAATCGTTCCAGCCAAGCGTCCTAATCCCACTTCTCAAACCTACGACCGCTCCTTCATGTGCTTCACCACAAACTCGATGGCCGCCTCGTACCCGTAGACGCCCAGCCCGCAGATGACGGCCTCGGCCTTGTCGCTGAGGTGGCTGTGCCTGCGGAAGGGCTCGCGCGCGTGCACGTTTGAGATGTGCACCTCGACGAAGGGGATGCCCACGCCCAGGATGGCGTCCCGGATGGCCACGCTCGTGTGCGTGTAGGCGGCCGGGTTGATGACGATGGCCGCCACCCCTTGGGTCCGCGCCTCCTGGATCCGGTCGACGATGGCGCCCTCGTGGTTGGACTGGAAGGCCTCTAGCGAGGCCCCGAGCGACTGCGCCTTGTCCCGGGCCAGCGTCACCACGTCGTCCAGCGTCGTGGTGCCGTAGAGCTGCGGCTCCCGCGTCCCCAGCAGGTTGAGGTTGGGGCCGTTGATGAGGAGGATTTTCTTGGACATTTTTGGCGGTTTTCTTGTTTGATCTTGTCGACCTTCTGCCGTGTTTGAGACACCAGACGGTTATGCTATTTCAAAGTCTTGACTAGCCAAGAATCCACCTCAAGGAGAGCGGGGTCTCAACATCTCAATGTCCTACACCTTCACCCCACTGGCCGGAGTGACTAAGTCCGCCGTCTATCTCGCGCTGACGAGGGGGTGCCCACTCAGCGAGCCACTTGGGGTCTCGTTGAACCATCCTCACTTTCTCATCTCATGTTGGCCTTGGTCGACCTATACCGACACGCCGTAACAGGTACCAGCAGCAGTATTTAGCATCAAAGTTCCCAATCCGATGCCCACTTTCCCTTTCTCAAGGTCTCTATAGAAGCAATAATGGGCTGGGGAGCACCGCAGAATATTGCCGTGGTTTACCCTCGTACGATACGAACGGGAGCACTTACTAGGAGCAGCCCCGCCGGACCTCGTCCTGATCGATTGCCGCACCCCTCCTTGCCATCCCCTCCATCGCTTCCGCTCTGCCCCCGATGTGGGCCGGGGGGTGCGTTCAGCATCGTGACTTGGATGAAACCCACAAAATTCGGCAAGTGATGGATACGCCCTCCAGCGGTTAAACACTCAACCCCCAGCCTACCCGCTTTCGGCTTTCTGCGGTCTATTCCCGAGATGCGGAACTGCAACCTCTTCTTCACCAACTGACACATTGTGTGCGGCTCGGTTCCATTGATCATGAGTGAGAGGGTTTTCTTGAAGCCGCGACAGCCGCGACGGCTCATCCTTCATCCTGCCATCGCCTACGACCTCGTTGACCCAACCTAAACTCTAGAAAGCTGCGTTCACCTCGGCACCCTCGGCATATCCAGCAGTCAGGACTCCTAGCGAGTGATCACAAGCCCCTGAAGGTTACGCGGAAACTCCACAGGACCACCGGGGAAAGTTTACCCCAATAACGACGAAGCAGGATGGCGGCCCAGGGCACGCCGCAAGAGGACCTCGGCGAGATCTACAAGTTCGCCATACAGATAGCCAAGGACGCCGGCAATATACTGATGGCCGGCGTGGAGAAGCGGTGCTCGGACGAGGGGGCCGCCAGCGAGGAGCAGGTCGAGAAGGACTCGTCCGTCGACATCGTCACCAAGACAGACCAGGGTTCGTGCCTACCCAGCCACCATCGGGGACCTCGGGGCGTGATCTGACGCCAAGGGGCACGGCAGAGGTCGAAGCGTCCATCTATGCAGCCATCAGAGCGAAATATCCCAACCACAAGTATGTACGAGGAGGGGGTGCCCCGCCCGCCAATGCTCCCCTTCCTCCTTCTCCTCTTTCTCCTCCCCCACCGGCACTTCCTGCTTCCCCCGGGAAAGCACCTCGGGAGAGCAGAGTCCCGGGGGAAGGGAAGGGGGTGTATATGTTTTCCCGGACAGTGAGCATTGGCAAGAAGCGTTGCGGCTAACAGATGCCGAACCCCCGGGCAGATTCGTGGGCGAGGAGTCGTACTCTGCGGGGGCGACGCGGGACTACCTCATTGACGACGCGCCCACGTGGTGCGTGGACCCGCTCGACGGGACCGTCAACTACACGCATCTGTTCCCCATGTTCTGCGTCTCGGTCGGTTTCGTCGTCGGCCGCGAGGCCGTCGTCGGCGTCGTCTACGCCCCCTTCCTCGGCCAGCTCTTCTCGGCGTGCCGCGGGAGGGGGGCGTGGCTCAACGAGACGCAACGCCTCCCGCTGGTCCGGAGCCCGCAGGTGCCCGCCATGCCTCCTCAGGCGCCCAAGGGCTGCGTCTTCTCGTGCGAGTGGGGCAAGGACCGCAGGGACGGGCCAGAGGGGAACCTGCGCCGCAAGGTCGAGAGCTTCGTCAATATGGCCGCCGAGGTCGGCGGCCGCGACGGGCTGGGCGGCATGGTGCATGGCGTGAGGTGTCTGGGCAGCGCCGCGCTCGATCTGGCATACACCGCCATGGGATCGTTTGACATATGGTGGGAAGGTCGGTGGCACTTGGATCCGCTTCTCCTGTTCTTACCCCTTACCCACTCTTTCTGTCCTCGTTCGCTTCTCCGACTCGTGGATTCCAAGCAAGCTGACGGGAAATTGTCCCCTGAAAGGCGGCTGCTGGGAGTGGGACGTTGCGGCAGGCATCGCCATCCTCCAGGAGGCCGGTGGTCTTGTCACTACGGCCAACCCGCCGCAAGGCTTTGAGACCGCATCCATCCCAGAAGTCAGTCTGGGAAGCCGCCTTTACCTTGCAATCAGACCTGCTGGCCCTTCCCCCACAGAGACAGGGCGACAGTCTCAAGAGAGAGTTGTCCGCGAGGTCTGGAAGCGCGTAAAAAGCCTCAACTACACCCGACCTGGCATCTAAATGAAGATGGCTTTTGGGTGGTGAGGCATAAAGACGTGAGGAGATCCAACGCTGACCCTCCTGCATGTCTCGGGAATCTAGCAGATGCAAATAGTAGTCGAGAGAAATGATTTCATATACAATAAGCAAGCAACACAAATATTCACCCAATCACTAAACGTCATAGGCCTCAAAGGCAAAAAGTTGAGAAGTGAAGAGCATATGAATAGATGGAAGAGGGGACGAACCACGCCTGTATGCTTCATAGTCGGATCATAGTCAGCTGCAGTTTTACACTGCAGATCTGTGGTTAATCGTCTGTGCGCGCTTGACAAATAATAGCGTATATACACCATGAACACGGCGAAACCGTCAAACGCCCCCAAAGTTTCCTCGCAGCAAGTCTGTGAGGTCTGCGCCCGGGGCAAACCCAAGATTGGCCATAAATTGGGTGTCGGCGTCGACGCGGTCCGTGCAATCGATTGATGACGCCAAGTCGTCAAGAAGAGTATCGTAGTTGTAGGCCGACACAACGCCGCCGCCGCAAGCGCTGTTCTGCATGGATGATATTGACGGCATCAATGAGGCGCCGACACCATATATACCGACGGGCTGGACGGGCCCGTCCGGGCGGGAAAATACGGGCTGGTAGACTGGGGCGTAGTACTGAGGTTGTTGTGTAGGGCCGTCCAACTTGGGCGTATGCGGCGGGGGCCCACGAGAGGGAATCACCTGTCGGTTCTTGCTTGGGTCTGCGCTTCTCTCGGGGAGGATAGCGGTAGAATGGGCAGGTAGCGGGTTGCCCCGGCGCCACGTGTTCAGTAATGTGCTCTCCAGCGATGCCAGACGAGCCACATCCTGTTCCGTCAGGGATGAAGCCAATGACCCTACGCAGCATCTGCGCATAACTATCAGGCAGGTGGAGAAGAGCGGAGTGGCCATGGTCATGCCGTGCTGCGCCGCGTACGTTTCGACGTGTGACATGGCCTCCCGGAGGGCTGACGGGGGAGTTTGTGCCATCAAAGAAATACCATGGCGCTTAGCCTGGACTACCAGGTACAGAAGCCGAAGCAAGTATGGCGAGGGGATCTGGCTGGGGGGCTGCGTCCCGGCCAACACGAAGCTTCGGTGTTGATATGCCGAATCAACTGCGATCTGGGTCGGGGCCGCGGTGTTTGGTGATGCAGATGTGGACAAGGCTCGGCACAGATCACACATCAGGCGGAAAGAGCTGAGTGCTTGTGCCGGCAAAGGGATCCCGCGAGCCTGTGGCTCCGCGCCGGGCCCGATGCCCCGGCACGGCTGCCATGGCTGCCACTCATCTATATCGTCCATAGGCGGCGAGAGCCTCGCCAGGGTGTCGCTCCTCAAGTGCTGGGGCCACCCCGTCCTCGCAGAGACAATAGTATCAAGTATGAAGCACCCCATAAATGCCCGGCGGTGCTTCTCGGGCAAAGCTGCATGTGTTTCTACCTGGCCGAGGCCGAGGCTGAGGGCAATGCGAACAGCATTTCCAATGAGCATCCATGCCGTGACAACATTATCGCTCCCCAGGTTGACTAGCGATAGCAGAAGAAGAGCGTTGATGTGAGAAGTTTGAAACGGGCCGTTGTCCGAGGGCATCAGCCGGCGCGCCGTACAGTACGCCTCGGCTGGGTCGATGGCGGGCTCCGCCGTCGCCGGGGCTTGGCAAGCAGCAAAAGCCAGGATGGCCCACAGCTCGGCATGCGTCGGCGCGCTTGGGTGAGTCGGCGCAAGGTCGAGGCCAGCCCCTGGATAGCCGTATGTCACCTTGAGGATATCCTGCTTCTCCACGATGGGGAACCAGCAGTGCGTATACGAAAAGTACAAGTCCAACAGCCGCCAATGGTTCGGAGGCAGCCGGAACCGGGCATGATTGGTGGGCAGTATTCGCGGGATGGGAGAATCGCTCTCGTGTGAGGCGGGCGCTGGGCGCGATGCAGCAACTGCCACCTTCCCGATATCGCCTCGGCGTGGCTCGGCATCGGCTTCATTCTCACTAGCGGACGCGTCGTCCTCACGGCTCCCGATTGTCGCGGGATCTCGTCGGGTAGGTTCGCCGCCCGAAAGGATCCGGTCCAGCTCGAGACAGGCCGAGCTCTTGAGCCAGCGCTGATGAAGGCGACTCCCCGGCCCAGGGGCGTCAGCGATAAGGAGTGCCTTGGCCTGGCCGCCCTCGTGGGCGAGCAGTTTGTTCAGGGCATCCTCGCAGCCGGGGTTCTTGTCAAACAGCCAGCCCAAGGCTACCTCGAGGGCGCGGATGTAGCCTGTCTGGACTCCGCGCTTCTTGGGCGAGGTCCGGTACGTGCACTTCCTGTTCTGGCTGACGCAGGGGAAGCAGAGAGGCTGGATGCCGTCGCACTTCTCGCGGGCAGCGCGGCACTGGTCGCAGGCACGGCTGACTCTTTGGCGCTTCGCGGGCGCGGCGGCGGCGGCAGGGGCGGCGGTGCTTGTCGCAGTGCTGTCGTCCGAGGTTGCAGCCTGCTTCCGCTTCGACAGCATCCTGCTGGGAGCATCTCTGGCGCCCTCGCTCTTTACGGGGCTAGCCGTGGATCGGCCTCGTTCATAGTCGTTGTGGTCGGGCGGAATGATCTGGCTCATTTGACTTGGCTCCTGCTGGCTCGGCCGCCGGCTGTGCTTGAATCCGGGGTTGGGAATGCGGGGACTTCCGTCAGCCGCAGGTTGTGGGAAAACACTCTCCCAGCAGGCAGCGGGTGGGTCCACTCCTGGTTAATTGGAACACCTCACGTTGGGTTGGTTGAAGCTGCGCTGCCAGCTCATACATTCGACAAACAATGCAAACAGGCACGGGACAGGCAGTGGAAGCCATAGGAAATCCTGGGAGTCAAAGGATACATAAAACCAAGGCCAAATATATATATATAAAGGAGGACATTAAAACGTTTAGCCAAGAGACAGAAAAAAAAAAAAAAAATCGGGATTGAAATGGACTGGGGTTTCAATTAGCCTCAGCTTGCCGAACTGTGCGGGCTTTCAGGGACCGAGGCCCGCTGCTCCAGCGTGCTGTTCACCGAGGTGATAGGTGATTCGCAAGTTGGAGCTTCATCGTTGCACGAGTCGACCTGTGGCCTTTTTCCACACCCCCCGATCTCGCGCCCGCCACTTTTTTTCCCCCTCTATGCCGAAACCACCTTGGATCACGCTCGCCACGCATCTGTCTATTAGGACGTGCTGTGCGTGGCCATGTGCGCGTTTATGACCTGATACCTGGGAAAGTAACGCAAGACATGGCGCTAGACGGCGCGTTTGGCATCAAGCGGGAGTTTGCTGCCATGGAGAGGGGCGCAGACAGGGAGCCGCGCGCGCGGACCGTCGAGATCGCAGACGACAGCCCGGCAAAGAGGAGGAGCGTAAGCCACGGTATGCCACCCCAAGCGCCGGGCCTCGGCTCTAGTTCGCCGTTCGCGCTCTGGACGGCAACCTTGGCGGCGTTTCTAGCTGACATGGACCCCACGCCCCGTCTAGCCCCCGCCGACCATACCGCCGGAACAGAAGACCGCCTCTACCGCGCGGCGGCTCCGAGTGCGCGGATATTCCATCCCGATGCTTCAATCGTACTACTAGGAATACGCGGCGCCGGCAAGTCCACACTTGCTATCATCGCCTCCACCGCTCTCAAGAGAGTCATGGTGGACGCAGAAAACACATTCCACGATGCCACCAGCCGATCAAGCGTCGCATACAGGAAGGAACATGGCAGCAGTGAATACCAGCGGCGGCAGGCAGAAATCCTCGACGGAATACTAGCCCAACACGGCAACGGCGCCGTCATCACCTGCTCCTGGCTGGACAGGCAGGTCCAGGCCACTTTTCAGGCCCTGGCCGTCACCCACCCAGTCGTCTATGTCCAGCGCGATGCTGCCGCCGTCCGGAACCACTTCCACTTGTCGGAGCCCTCCAAGCTGCGCGACCTGCTGGACATTAGCGGCACCGTCTTCCGACGGTGCAGTAACCTCGACTTCTTCAACCTGTCCGAGGCCCGCGTGTCTTGTGGTAGCAGTCCAGGAACCCCATCAGGCACAAGATCCCCAGCTCCCTATATGACCCTTAAGAGGGCGGAGCGCTGTTTTATCAAGTTTTTGTTTCTTGTCATGCCGGAAGGATCAGTCCCACTGGTCGAGTCCGCCCTGCCGTTGGCCCAGGTTCCGGTCGAGCAACGCATGTTCACCTTCGCCGTCACCGTACTCTTGTCGCAGCTTGACCCGGAAGATTTCGACGTGAAGCTCATCGAAACGGGTGCCGACGCTCTAGAGGTTGTGGTGGACAACTTGGACGCCTCAGCTACCTGGCTATCTCCTGGAAGCGTGCGCAAGATCAGCCAGGCTGTTGCCAGCCTCAGGCGCATCACAGCAATACCGATCCTGTACCACGTCCCGTTCGTTACCAGAGGCGGAAATTCCCAGGCGGGAAACCCCTGGCTTCATCTTGACGCAGTCGAGATGGGTTTCAGGCTCGGTGCCGAGTACGTGACGACTGACCTACGGCTGGACGATCAGCAGCTGCAAGGCCTGATAGGGCACAAGGGCCGTTCCAGGATAATTGGCCATGTTCACTGGGAGGGCGATGACCCTCCGTCCTGGAGGGACCCTTCCTGGCTTGAATTCTACAAGCGAGCACAGCGGATTTGCTGCGACGTGGTGAGGTTCACACGCCGAGCCATCACGGCAACTGACAACTTCGAAATCGACCAGTTGCGAGGGGCTATAGCAGCCCTGGGCCAGCCAGTTCTGCCGTTAATAGCATACAATACCGGGCACCTCGGCCGACACTCGGCCTGTTTCAACCAAATACTCACCTCAGTCCTCCCGGGCGGACCGCTCCGGCCACACGACCACCAACCGCAAGTCTCATCCTCAACTGCCACGCCATCACTCACAGCCCTGCAGATCACAACGGCCTTGTACTCGTCATACGTCTACGACGAGATGAAGCTCTACGTCTTGGGCGCAAATGTGGACTGGAGCATGTCTCCCGCCATGCACAACGCAGGACTCCAAGCATTAGGCATACCGCACAAGTACCGCCCATTTTCGGCCCAGACTGCGTCCGGGTTGCGGGACCTAATCACCGACCCCTATTTTGCCGGTGCCTCTGTCGGGCTGCCGTTCAAGGTGGAAATAATTAGTCTGACGGACTCGATGAGTCGACACGCGCGGGCCATCGGAGCTGCAAACACACTTATACCGGTGCGCCACCTGAATGCTGACGGCAGCGTGCCCGAAGATGCCGCCATGTTCAACCATCGCAACCGGCCCGGGCCTGTGAAGGCTCTCTACGGGGAAAACACGGACTGGATCGGCGTGCTGGCATGCATTCGGCGCGGCTTGTCGCCGGCAAACGCAGTCCGGCCACACACGAGTGCGCTTGTTATCGGGGCCGGAGGCATGGCCAGGGCGGCCGTCTACGCCATGATGCAGATTGGCGTCAAGAACATTGCCATCCTGAATCGAACGCGCAAGAACGCAGAGCACCTGATCCAGCACTTCACCAAGTTGATATCCCGAGGCGGCCTGTCTCTTTTGTGCGGGACCGATGCGACCGACACCCAGTTCCACATCATCGAGTCGCGCGACGTGCCGTGGCCGGACGAGATGCGCTACCCGACCATTTTCGTCTCGTGCATCCCGACCCATGTGCTCGGTGACAGTCCGGCGCCCGACTTTACGATCCCGCCGCGGTGGCTGAATAGCCCCACGGGCGGCGTGGTCGTGGAGCTGGCGTACAAGTCGCTCAAAACACCGCTGCTGGAGCAGATACGGGCGGAGGCGCCGAGGGGCTGGGTTGCTATGGACGGCCTAGACCTGCTACCAGAGCAGGGCTTTGCGCAGTTCGAGCTCTTTACAGGACGCAGGGCGCCGCGCCGGCTCATGAGGAGCGAGTTACTACGCGCATACCCCAACGAGGAGGACGGCTCGAACCTGGCCCAGTCAAACTCTCGCCTCGAGGCCATTGGCGAGCAGGAACCCTAGTCGGCCCGGCCCACATGCCTGCGCCTGCTCCCACCATACCTATACCTACCTAGTAGGTACCTACTATGTATGCACCTAGGCAAAGCCCGTACTTATCGGAGCCGGAAATGCAACCTATTGGCATTCTGCCTTAGCCCTATCACCCTGCCACCCTGCCACCTTACCTAGCATGCTGGACCTGTACTTTCCCCATGCCTCCACCGGCTTCCACTCGAAAGAGACGCTGTGCCGCATCGATCAGCCAGCCATATATGACTGTCCCACGGCCACGCCGCGCAAACCCCGCCATGGCAGCATCCATGCCCAAAACTTTGGGGCCGGAACGCGGGGATGCTTGGCCTGGATAAAGACTGTTCCCTCGGTGAAAGGGGACCATTCCCCACGCGCCCCACTCACAGCCTTTCCCCTGACTTGACGCTTGACTCGAGAAATCCGGGGTACTGCAGGATTGCATGAGCTATCACCCAATCTGGTACCTCGCAAATGACGGGAAATCTCTGCCAATGTTGATGCGCCTCTACGGCGCGCGCCGGCGTCGCTTTTCATGTGCTCCTACGCCTCCACCCCGGACTGAGCCTTCTTACTGGAGCTGCGGCAGCTTAGGACCAAGCTTGAGCTACGGCTTGTTGGTCGCTTCAGCTGCCTGCCATCAGAGTGCCTACTTAGACCTTGGGTCCCCCGGGCCCCTTTTCTCATGGTCTCTCCTTTCCGCCACCCCTCCCGACCTGTCCGATACCATCTACCACCCTCCTCACCCAGTGCCTGACTGCGACAGCCGCTCTGGGACAGTCCGCCTTGCATCATGGGTCTCTTAACCCTCAAGGAAGACCGGCCGACGCCGAAGGCCGTCTATAACTGGCGCGTCTACATGTGCGCCGCCGTCGCGTCCTTTGCCGCGTGTATGATTGGATATGACTCTGTCAGTAGCAACTCTCTTTCGGCGACGTCGGTCTCACCTACCAGGTCAAGGTGCTGACCCCTCCCACATAGGCATTCATTGGCGGCACCCTCGCCCTCCCGTCGTTCCAGCGCGAATTCGATTTTGCGCAGTACAAGGCCGAAGACCTGGCGCTCGTCCAGGCAAACATCGTCTCCGTCTACCAAGCCGGCGCCTTCTTCGGCAGTATCATGGCTTTCGTCACCAACTTCTACCTCGGCCGCCGCAAATCCCTCCTCATCTTCGTCGCCGTCTTTGCTCTCGGTGCAGGCATGATGCTAGGCGCCAACAAGCAGCGCGGCCTCGGCCTCATCATCGGCGGCCGTGTCCTTGCCGGCATCGGCGTGGGCGCCTCGTCCAACGTCGTGCCGATATACATCTCCGAGATCTCGCCCCCCGCCGTCCGCGGCCGCCTCGTGGGCTTGTACGAGCTGGGCTGGCAGGTTGGCGGGCTCGTCGGCTTCTGGATCAACTACGGCGTCAACACGACCATGGCGCCATCTCACACGCAGTGGCTCATCCCCTTCGCCGTTCAGCTCATCCCCTCGGGCATGCTGTTCTTTGGCGCCCTCTGGGTGAAGGAGTCCCCCCGCTGGCTTTTCTCGCGCGGCCGCCGGGAGGAGGCCCTGAAGAACCTCGTCTGGATCCGGAACCTCGAGGCCGACGACATCTACATGGTCGAGGAGATTGGCTACATTGACGCGGACCTCGACCGCTACGCCAAGGAGGTCGGTCAAGGCTTCTGGAAGCCGTTCGGCGCGCTGACGGACCGCAAGATCCAGTGGCGCTTCTTCCTCGGTGCCTTCATGTTCCTGTGGCAGAACGGGTCAGGCATCAACGCTATCAACTACTACAGCCCCACCGTTTTCGCCAGCATCGGCATCCGCGGCACCAACGCCTCGCTGCTCACGACGGGCATTTTCGGCGTGGTCAAGACGGCCCTGACCGTCGTCTGGCTCCTTTGGCTCATTGACCAGTTTGGGCGCCGTGCCATGTTGCTCGTCGGGGCTATTGGTGGGGGTCTTTGTACGTCTTCCGTCTTGCCACGTCCCGCCAAGCTGGCTAGACATCTTGCGTCTGATCAGGATTGATAAGCTAACCCAGAACAACTGTGCATCTAGGCATGTTCTACATCGGTGGATATATCTCCCTTGCAGGGGTTTCGAGCAGCAGCAGCGAGAACGCCCCACTTTCACCGGCCGGAATTTCTGCTATTTTCATGTTCTACCTTTGGACTGCGTCAGTCTAACCCCATCCTCAACATACAACCCAGGCCTCTCATGCGGCATTGACTGACTGGATTACGTAGCTTCTACACGCCTTCCTGGAACGGCACACCTTGGGTGCTGAACAGCGAGATGTACGATGTCAACACGAGGGCTCTCGGCCAAGCCTGGGCGGCGTGCAACAACTGGTTCTGGAACTTCATCATCAGCAGGTTCACGCCGCAGATGTTCCTCAAGATGGGCTTCGGGTTAGTACTGGCGCAGACAGGCACCATGGTCCCTATTTCCTATCCTTGTCTGCTTACGACGTCCGATGCTAACGATTTATGACAGCGTATACATCTTCTTTGGAAGTCTCATGATGATCTCGGCCGTCTTCGTCTGGTTCCTGGTCCCTGAAACCAAGTCGATTCCGCTTGAGAAGATGGACCGACTGTTTGAGATCAAGCCCGTCTGGAAGGCCAACAAGACCATCATGGAGGAGCTCCAGCTGGAGGACGAGCAGTTCCGCAACAACGCTACAGGGTCGGGCGTCTCACCGGAGAAGCCGAGCAAAGAGCGTAAAGAGGCGGCTGAGGTGTAAGAATGGAGATGCTCCTCAACATCACACATGGCAGACTCGTCAAATTTATGAATAAAGTAATATCAACGATAGCTCGGAATTAGGATAACTATAAATGATAAAACGAAGATGGGAGGGGTCACCTGTGGTTTGGACATGCCTTGTGACGTTGAGAATTGGCCAAAACTAGTATCTGAATGAGTCCGGCGAGGTCACCTTGCTCCACGCGCATGTCGATGTCACGCCATATTCAATTGTTGCCACGCAGCTTCGCGTTATCCTGTCGCTCAGCCCGGAAAGGGATCGTGCACGGTTTTTGAGCTCGCTTCAGGGGCACCGTGGAAGTCAACAGGGGTAACCGGCTCTGCCACATGGTTGTGTTACGCACGGACTGGATACCGTGTGGGGCCAATTGAATTCTGGCCACGAATGTCACACAAGGCCAGCACCACCGAGGCCTCTTAAGGACAGACACCACCACCACCACAGCTCTCAAAACGAGCCCCAACAAGTCCCTCCTCCTTCGCACACCCCGTCTCTCCCCCCCCTACTTCGCGACAGTCCTTCTGATACCGGCTACCTCCAACAATGGTTTCTCTCAAGCTCACCAGCCTGGCGCTGCTGGCCTGCCAGCTCGTGGGCGTCCTTGCTCAGGCCGAGGTATGTGTGTCCTGGCTGAACACAGCTCCCCCTGCCCTCGTCCATGGTGTTGCCGCTCGAGCCGCCACGAAGCTTCCTATCCAGGTCGCATGGCGCCGGCCGCCACCGTCGCCCACTGCGGGCGACCAGTGGACCGGCATTCCCTGATGTCACTTACAAATGGCTGACCTGGCCCTTGCTTCCCCCCCTCGCAGAGCGCCGCCCCAAGCGGCGAGCCCGCCAAAGACGCTCCCCCGGCGCCGGCGGCGCCGCAGCTCAAGGTGGACGTGGCCACGACCTTCCCCGAGGCCGACATCTTCGGCGTCAAGCTCGTCAACGGGCGCCCCACCAAGGCGGTCGTCGAGATCACCAACAACGAGGACGGGCCGCTGCGCGTCAGCTTCGTCGGCGGCGCCCTCGGCCGCCCAGACCAGCCCCCCGCGGGGGCGGCCGGCGACGACAAACCCGCACCGCCGGCGCTGCGCAACCTGACGGCCGTCAAGTACGACATCGAGGTGCCCGCGGGCGACAAGCGCTCGCTCACCTACTCCTTCACGCTCGACATGCAGCCCCAGGACGTGCGCGTCGACCTGGTGGCCGTCGTTAGCAACGCAAAGGGCCAGACGTTCCAGGTCCCCGCCCACAGCGACAAGGCCAGCATCGTCGAGCCGCCCACCAGCTTCCTGGACCCCCAGATGTGAGTAGACACGTTGCACTCCCTTTCCTTGGGGAAGTCTTTGCATGCTGACAAAAGTCCACAGCATCTTCCTGTACCTCGTCCTTACCGGCGTCTTCGGCGGCACCCTCTACTTCATCTACAAGACGTGGGTCGAGGCCCTGTTCCCCCAGGCCAAGCGCGCGCCGAGGCCCAAGAAGCCCGTCGCCGCGCCCGCGCCCGTCAAGAAGGTCGAGGAGTCGCTGTCGGGCAACGAGTCGGCCGGCGCCACGAGCGGTGCCGACGGCAGCTTCGATGCAAGCTGGATCCCCGCCCACCACATCAACCGGCCCGTCGCCAAGCGCGTCAAGTCGGCCAAGAAGGCCAAGGAGTAAAAAGTTTGTAGTTGAAACTTTGTAGAACGGAAAAGGGGGGGAGGGTCGGTTTTGGGATATCATGGCTATGTACTTGTCTACCATATTTCCAAACTCATTCATGACGTTGCGTTTTCCTACTGGACTCGGAAAAAATCTATTTTGGGAATGGGCGCCGGGCGGATTCAACTAGATGTGGCAGGGTCGGGATAACCATGTACAAGAAGCGTAGTATCAAATGGCTAATGACAGCTGTGTGGGCATTTACAGTCCACACAAGCTTGGGCAACGCGATCAAGGCTCTGATGAGCGCCAAAGGCATGTGACGACGGGACTTGAAACCAACCATACTGCGGAGGCATTCGCCTCCTGGTAATAGGTGTGAGATCCAAACCAGAATCTGGAAAGTGGTGTGCTGCCTACCTGGTTGAGCCGTGCGGTTCTCCCAAGTGTGTCAAATTCGTGTTGGCGTCGAATAGCAATCCATCACACCCAATCCAAATGCGATATGCACCAACAGACGACGTCTGCTCCAGGATAGAGCTGCCCAAAGGAGGATCTTGGACGGTGTCCAGTCACAGCTTGCAGGGGAATCAGGCAAATGGTGAGAGTAGTTTGTTTGCTTGCACAAGCAAGAAACCAATCCTCACACAACCAACCGAGCCTCTCCAGCAATGACATCCACCGCTCAGGACCTTGTCAGCGAAGCCGTCAGGTTCGCCAAGGCGGACGACGCCGGCGGGCTCGAGGACGCCCTGAGCAAAGTTCCAGTCAGTTGCTAACAGATTGATAGCAACTCTTGGGACACGATAGTCGCCCTCAGCCCCCTCCCCTGACTGGTATACCATACTGGGTAGGTATAACTCTTCGCTGATAGTTCTCTTTTTTTCCTGGAATAATCATTGTTGTTTGCTTCATTTGTTTGTGGCTCTAAACATATTGTCAAACGAAAGAAAGCTCAAATTGCACATGGACTTCCTCATCAGCATCCCGGAGGTTCCTTCGAAGGGCACTCCATGGGCACTTGAAACTTTCGGGTTCTAACAATATCCTCACAGTCACAGACAAGTGGACAAAACAAACAATGGTTATTCTAGGAAGGAGGGTTAATATTGAAGGGGTAAAGAAGAGGAGGAGGAGGAGGAAGCCCAAGTGGGAGGGAGGGAGGGAGGGAGGGGGATTCTGTTGCAAGACAGGGCTGATTGGCGAGATCCCCGCTGATAGCGAGTAAAAATAGGTTCCTCTGACGGGGAGCATTGAGGCACACCGCTGCACGGAGCAACGGCCAAGTGCAACGTCGAGTGTGGCGGACTGGCCCTTGCCAAAGGAGCCAGTGTGATAGGCTAGATGAAAGGGCGGTCGCCAGTACGTGCCAATATGGGGATATCTTGAGAGATGGAAAGAAAGAGGCAAGGAGAAGGCACCCCCTCGGGACAGACTTGGCCTGCTCCTTTATATAACGGCCGTCTTGGCCCAATCGTGAGTTCCTTGGCCCGCAACATGTGACACTGACCAAGCGCCGCCCAGGGCAGCAGCCGGCGCTGGCGCCGCTGGCTGACATCTGGTGTCGAGATGGCTCAGGGGTCACTTCTGAGCCCCAAACCTGTGCCACCAGCACAGAACTATAACAGCCAGCAAGGATATTGGAAACAGCGCCGGGAAGACGCACAAGGAAACAGCTGGAAAGCACGGGCAGGGCAAGTGTGCGATTCTGCTGGCTAAAGGCCAAGTCCAAATGAGTGCCTTCTATGGCTACAGGCATGAGCATGTCAAGATTTGAAGGTTATTATCCGTGGTATCGAGCGGTGACTGGTAAAGGCCATGCACTTGCACGCTGAGCACTTGCGCTAGGCGTTTTGCTGTCGACGTCTTTTGATGAGCTGGCTAGAGGCTTGCACTACTAGCCTCAATCCGAGTGCATGTGTGCCACGTCGTGTATCGCATCGAGGCGTTGCACGATGTTTTGGACCGCAACCTCGCCGGCACCAGAATGCATACACTCACCCCCTTTATCGCAACGGGAGTAGTAAGTACACGGGGAGCTCTGAAACGCTGCACAGGCAGCGCGGCGGGATGAACAAGTATGCTCTTCTTTTGAATTTGGATTCCTAATCCTCGATCAAAGCATCGCAAAGCAAAACGAATCGAAGCTACCACACAGTACGCAATCTCGAAAAGCACGCCAGGCTTTTGAAGGAAGAAGGGAGACACTGCAGACGGTTGGTGATGTGACTAGAATGGGGTTCAAAGGGTGGAAATAGAAATGAAGTATCGTATGACCAGACGCATCCGACAGGCAGAACCGGTTGGTTGCGCTCCTGGGCAAGGGGTATCTGCTATGGGTAAAGAAAAAGATGGCAAGGCAAGCTGCGTGCCCAATACGCGAGAACGTAGGTAGGTAAGTTGTTAAATAGGAGACCGAAGGACATAGGAAACCAAGAAAGATCTGCCGCCGTTCAAATCATCATCATAGGATGTTGGTGGCTCGTAGCCTCGTGATAGTTGAGTCGTCAAAATCCGAACTGGAGGGTCGTGTTGCTCGTAGATGGGTGGACGCCGTGACGCCAGGAAGATGATCGCGAAATATTTCTTGGGAAAGGAAAGTGTGCAGCGCAATACTCGAGGAGGATGTGGGCCGGCGGGTGTCATTAAGAAAATGGGCGTCGGGGGGAAAAGGGGGAGATGGACGCCAGGTAAGGGGCCGATGCTTCCGTGTCATGTGACATCATGTGGGTGTGTTGAAGACAAAAGAGAAGCGACCAGCAGTGCCGTCGAAGGCAGGCGCAGCTTGGTCGCACGAAGCGAATATTGGTTGATGCTTGTCCTTGCAAAGCGTGAGAACGGGGGCTATGTTGTTCTGCGCTGGCTCAAGGTGTCTGTGCCCGTCGCATGTGGTTCTCGACGCTGGCATGGCGCTTGTGCATCATGGGTGAGCGCTGTAGCTCTTGGACGACGCCGGCCCAGCCTCGCCGGTGGGTGCCACCGAACTTGTCTTCATCGAGGGTGGCGTCATGGTGACCCATGGCCTGGGTGGTGAGCCGGCGCATCGGCGGCTTGCGCTTCTCACCCATCGACACCCCGAGAGCGGGGAAGTGGTGGTGTGGGTGGCTGGGCAGTGGAGGAGCCGGAGGAATGGCTCTCTCCGGCGTGCATGGCAAGGCCGGCGCCTGCTTCTCGACCTTCTCCGAGGTCATGGGGGCCGATGAGACGATGCTCATGTAGACGACGAGAAATCGCATGCGCATCATGTCCATGCGTCGCAACCTCTCGTTGAGACGGTCACGCCGGGCCGCCCACAGGATTCGCGCAGGCATGCGCAGGCGGGCCCTAGTCAGGCCGACGGCCATGTTGCTGCCGCTGCCGGCGCAACCTTTGAGACCACCAGTGATCTCGACGAAGAGCGGCTTGTAGGCCGACGCCGGGACCAGGACGCCGTTGAGATCCTCGCGCAGATCATCGCCAGCCTTCTGGATCTCGCGCAGCAGCCGGCCGAGCCGGAGCTTGTCTTCAAGCCGCGGGACCCGGGTCAGGTCGCGGTCGTAAGATTCGTTTTCCTCGACAGAGGAGTCAAGAGCGTCGATGAAGATCAACACCTCTGTCGGGGCAGAGACATAGGCGGAGGCGTAACGCGAGATGGTCTGACCCAGAACCAGGACCGAGAGCAGGAAGGCGGTAGGGACAAGGATCACAGTCCCCTGACGGACGGATTCGGACATGGTGTCTGTCTCGTTTGCCCGTTTCTTGCTGTAAATTGTAACTCAGAGGGTCGATACTGTCCTGGCTCCGGGCAGACGTCGCGTCATCGTCTTCGCGGGGTTCGTGCTGTCTGTCAAAGTTGCAAGACAGAAAGAGATTTTCGGCTAGTGTGCGAGGTGGGAGGTACAGTTGTTAAGCTGGTGCGAGGGCGTGGGAGTGGAGACCGACATAGGAAGCCGATGGACGGGTGTGTGGTGTGTGCTAGGCCGAAAAGGGGGGCGGATGAGGGGGTGTGAGGGCTTGGTGTCACTTGAGCGGCAGCAAACAGGACGTGATGGAGGGGGGAAAACCAGAAATAAATCAGAAGTGGATGCGGAAAAGTCTGAAATCCCAACAAACGGCGTGAATGTTGTGGGCACAGCCTCTGGATATAAGACAGTCCCCAGAAGCCCGTCCCGGCACATCCGACGCAGCCAGCATGCCACTTTGCGGGCGCCGGGCCAGGCCATGGAGCCATCGCAGGCATACCGCATCGCATTGTGCGGTCCACTAGGGCATCGCGGCCTGGATGCATCTGTCTTCGCTTGCAGGTCGTCGTGTGGGAGTAGGTAGTCCCGCTAGGTAGTCCCGCTCGTGTTTGAGGGCTTGGGCTTGACGTGATTGCTCTCTCACCGCGCCCGTTGGAGCTGCCAAAACAGCCCACCAACCCGCGCGAGACCAGTCACCGCCTTTTCGCCCGTCCTGCTGTGGGCGACGCGCCCCTGCAGCTGCAGATAATCCCTGCCACATGCAGGAGACTAGGGCCTGGGTCATTTTGTTCCATTCGAATCGATTCGAATCATTGCCCTACATTTCCCGTCACAAGGCCACGCGGGGTGGGATTGCTCCATGGTTGGTTAAGGGGGCTGGTGATGGATGCGAGAATCGGCGACTGACTAGAAGTGAAGAAAACTAGACTGTGGTTGTGGTTTACATGACATCAGGTGGGAGAACAGCGCGTGGGGTTAAATTGAACGAAATGTGTCCGTGCTTTCAATTTCATGGATGCTACGGCCACGTTGACGTGACTGGCGGGGCATCCTCCCCCGCTAGAACCGAGAATCCCTCCCTCCGTGCTCCCTCGTCCTCGCTTGTTCTGGCACAGACCACAGCTTCCAAGGATTGAATTCCATTGTCCGCGTGGTTCGGCTTCTTGGTCGCTGCTGGGTCGATTTCTATGCGGGCTGCCCCGCAGACAAGGCACGAAATGCTCACATCCTGGCGCGTCCACTCTGCTTGCTTCCACGAAGAGGGCCGCTGGCGTTTGATTTGTGGACGAGGAGTCATCTGCTGCACACGCGTCAACATTGAAGGCCCGCACTGCATTCACCTTCGGTATCGGGCAGGTCTGCATATGCGTGCACTTTCTTCCAGTGGGTTCGGCTTCCCATGTTATTTGCCAGGCTTGCCTATGAATTGACAGGGGAGCCAACATGGACGAGGATCGGGCCCCGCCAAATGCAATCCCCCACCTGGAAAAAAAAAGGGCAGAATGCAATTGAGCATGCAATTGACCAACCATGCCAAATTTGCTGGAGGGGATATCCACTCGGCAGCGTTCGTTCCAATATCCATCAATTTGGTCCATGCTGCATCTGCGAGGTCGCCGTGTTTGGGAATTTTAGCGTTCCCGGTGCCAAAATAGACGGCAAAGTCTAGGTAGCCTATTCCATCAAGCTTCGAACACCCCGTTCCTAGCAAACACCGGGGAAGTCGCCGCACCCAGAACGGGCCAAGTGTCGTCGGCTCAAAAACAGCCCAGCAGCCAGCCAACCACTCCTCACAGCGGGGCCCAACAAAACCGAAGCGATGGCGGGGTCGCAGCAAGGAACAGAAGCGGCCACAGCCGCCCCAGCTGACGTCGACCATGCCGCCGCCTTCCCCTTCCCGCTACCCCCGATCCTCACCCACCCCTCGGGCGCGGCCCCGACCCTGATAACGCAGGGGGCCGAGGGGCGGCTCTACAAGACGACGTACCTGCGCCCGGACCTGTCGTGCGCCCTCAAGCACCGCCCGTCCAAACCGTACCGCCACCCGCTGCTGGACGCCCGCCTGACCCGCCAGCGCATCCTGGCCGAGGCCCGCATCCTCGCCCGCTGCCGCCGCGATGCCGCCCCCGCCCCGTCCGGGGCCCCGGCCGTCCCGGCCGTCTACGCCCTCGACGAGGCCGCCGGCTGGCTGATGATGGAGTGGATCGACGGCGCCCCGGTCCGCGCGCGCCTCAACGAGTGGCTGCGCCGGAGCACCGCCGCCCCCGCCGCGGCCGGTGCCGCGGCCGGTGCGGGAGGGGTGTATCCGTCCCTCGTGAAGCTCATGCGCAAGGTTGGCGCCGCTGTCGGGGGCATCCACCGCGTCGGCGTCGTCCATGGCGACCTGACCACCAGCAACTTGATGCTCCGGCCCTGGGCCTTGGGAGGCGGTCGCGACGGTGATGGCGCCGCCGAAGACAGCGTCGATGCGCTGCTGGACGGCGACATAGTCGTCATCGACTTTGGCCTGGCGAGCCAGAGCACCTCGGATGAGGACAGGGCCGTCGACCTGTACGTGCTCGAGAGGGCGTTCGGGAGCACCCACCCCAGGGCCGAAGGCCTGTTCCCCGAGGTCCTCAAGGGGTATCAGGATGCCTTCAAAAAGGCAACTCCAGTGCTGAGGAAGCTAGAGGACGTACGGATGCGAGGGCGCAAGAGGAGCATGATTGGCTGAGGTGAGTATTGATGGGTAAAGGAATGAGAGGGAGAAAAGGGGTCAAACTACACTCATTTTCTGAAAAGAGGAAAAATGACGATTTCTCTATTGACGATATACCCAAAGACAAATTCAAAAGATGAATGAAGAAATTGTGCCTGCCGTGATCACTAACAAATATCAAATGCTGCTGCCGCCCGCTGCAAGTCAAGCTAGATCATGTACCCAAAAAAAGGAAGAGATGCCAACCCAAAAGTATCCAAAATCGGACAAAGGCCCCGCGACAGCATGCCCGGGCCTGAGCACTTATCCTCACCCCCGTGAACATCACTCCTTCACCGTGAACAGGGCGCCAGCAAAGTAGCCCTTGTTCTCGATGACGCCGCGGTCCCGGACAACGGCGGTGTACTTGACCACCCACTGAGGCGCAATGTCGCCGCGGACGCGCGCCGGCGCGCCCGCAACCTCCTCCTCCTCGTCGCCGTCGTTGATGAGTATGCCAGCACCGCGCGGGCCGGACCCCAGGAGCTCGCGCAGAGTGCCGGCGGGCAGGACGTCGGTGCAGTCGCTGTGGACGAGCAGCTCGATGCCCTGTGCCCTGGCCAGCTTGAGGAGCGGCGGCGGCACGTCGCAGCAGTTTTTGATGTTGATCTGGTCGGCCGAGGGCCGCGGCGCGGCAGGGTCGGCGCCGACGCGCTTGAGGAACCGGGCCAGCTTCTCGCTACCAAACTCGGCGATCCCCAGGCGCCTCACGAGCCCACGGCGCGTGTGCAGCTCGTCGGCGACGGCGCGCCAGGTGGCGGCCTCGTCGTCGTCGTCGCCCTGCGCCGCGTTGGTCTTGTCGGCCTCCCACTCGCAGTCGCCGTCGAACGACATGCCCGGGAACGAGACGATGAGCAGGTCGACCGACGGCGCGCCGCCCAGCTCACGCAGCACCAGGTCCAGCGCCTCGCGCGCGTAGCCCGCCCTGGCGGCCGCCAGGGCCTGCCGCCTGGCGAGGGGGTCGTCGTCGTCGTTGCAGCCGGAGCCGGAGCTGCCCGTCGGCCCTGCCGGCAGGAAGAAGAGCTTCACTGTGATGTCGTACTGCGCCGCCTCCTCCTGCAGACCCGACGTCGACCACTCCACGCGCGGGATGTACAGGACCTCCTCCTCGCCCTGCTCGCCGTCCTTGGCGCCGTCCCTCTTGCGCCACTCGGTCCAGATGTACGGGTACGACTGCGCGAGCCGGGCGCCGAGCGACGAGCCCCCAGTTCCGTTGCCATTGAGGTGGCCGTTGCTGCCGTTGCCATTGCTGTTGCCGTTGCTGTTGCCGTTGCTGTTGCCGTTGCCGTGACCATTGCCATTGCTGCTGCCGTTGCTGTTGCCGTTGCCGTGACCGTTGCCATTGCGGGCGGACGGGTCGTCCTCAGCGGCTGCGGCGGACCCGTAGTACTCCTGGGCGGCCAGGAAATTGCTCCGTAGCGAATTGGTAAGCTCGAGGTTGGAGCGGTACGCGCCCGGCTTGCGGATTATTGACGGTCCACCGGAGACGATGTTTCTGTTCCCGCCACCCGAGGCATTGTTTGATTAGCTCGCCGTCGATTTATTATTTTTGTTTTCGTTGTGGACATTTTGCTGGTGGAATCATGCAATGCCGTTTGTCGGCGTTCGCTCGCGATCCACGCCGAGGGGTCCCGCCGCGAGGGAGAGAAGAAAAAAAAAAGTCTCGCGACGGGCTCATTGCGTAACGTCACTGCCGCATGCGAAAACTCACCCAGTCGACAGGATTAGTTTCGACATGTTTGCGACGCCCGCCGATTCTGGGCAATATGGCAGTGGGATCGGTCTGGAACTGGTGACGAAGGTCTTTTAGGTTATTCTTCCTTTCGTTTATTTTTCTGCCTTTTTCTCCCAGACGCGCATATGTCGTGTCGTAGGTACCGAGCAAGATAGTGGCGTGCGGTTTCCAGTGCCCAAATGCGCCCGCCCGCGCCGCCGAGAGGGAATGCAATTCAGTGGACGCAAATGCAGGCAGAAGTCGTTTCGGTGGGGCGGCGCGTGTTTCGTAAGATCTTCTTTTTGTTCCTTTCTGTTCTGGCGCTGACAAATTGAAACAATGAGGCGGTCTCGAAAAGGCAGTTAAAGTGAGTAGAATGCAAGCCCATGACTGAGTCCAGCGCGAGCACATGCAAGAACAGGGACCGCGCAGGAACGCAGCTAGGCCTAGAGAACTCCTGGCCAACCCATCGAGCCCGTCACTTATTATATGCAAAGAACGTAGTCAATACTTTGGGTAATGTTATCCCGTCAAGACCCGCAGCCGAGGCGACTTCCGGTCACCTCCATCTTTGGCGACTATCTTGTTTTGTTCATATCTGTTGCTTTCACGACTCGTCACATATCCCAGCAGAATAAACCCCGACTTGTTCTCCTCCCCATGCAGGGTCACATTTGCATACATACTACATAGAGGTAGTGCCTACAAGTTCCTATGCCGCCAAGTAGCCCGGTTTCTGAGCGAGTTTTGACCTATCGTTTTCTTACCCTGCAAAGGCGGCCGCGAACCCCCACCACTGCAAGATGGGGGATGGGCGGAGCAAGAACCAGTGGCCCTACACCCTCTTGGTTATGGCCTCGACCGCGACATTTGAAATTCCCGCGGACAAAAGGGAAGAACCCGGAATGCAAGCCGAGTATGTAGATTACACAGGCCACACGTGGGATACTTGGCGAAAATGCTTTTTGTTGGCCGCTGAATCGTGGCTAAACAAGAGCCGGCTCCAACAACAAGATGGAACGCCTAGCACAGGTGGCGGCAACATCCGAATCGACATGAACGGTGGTTCGCAGGACATATGCACACAATAGAAAGCCCGATTAGTATTAGAAGAGAGACCGGTAGCGTGGATTGGAAATCCAACATTTTGGTCAAGTAGGTTGGCACCATGAGGCTGGTACTCGACTTCATCAGCTACACCAACCCAAGCTATGGCGGGGTTGAACTCCGACAAGGCCAGATGCACTGTGCTCCCTACACGCAGACACAGTGCGGTCCGCCCAATCTGTCGACGGCTCTCATTTCATTCCTTGGCCCACTTGTGGTGCCCGACCCGACACATGGTCATTTGCACGAGGTTGCGCATTTTGGAAGAACTATTCTTGCTGCCGCCCGGAACTCGACGCCGACCGACATCTAGCATCCCCAGAGTCTCCCAAACACCAAAACGACCAGTGCGGGCGCCGCTGGTGATGTGAGGTCGTGTCATGGCCATCCAGTAAGACCGTCTCCGCCGTTCCCCCAAGCTCTAGAGTCTGCGTTTTCTGACAGTTCATCTAGCTACTTGATCCTGCTCTCGAGGCAGGGCAAGGTCGTAAGTCGGCCTCACCCCCTCCACGGCAGCATCCCGACCGACAGCCGACAAGATATACCGAGCGGCAGTACTGATGGATCGAACTGCAGCGCCTTGCGAAATGGTTCACCACGTTGATCCCGAGGGATAAAGCCAAGATCGTCAAGGACGTCACCCAGCTTGTCCTGGCCCGGCGCACGCGAATGTGCAACTTCCTGGAGTACAAGGGTGCGCTCGCCCGGATTTGCTCGGTCCCGGAGAGTCGACACTGCGCATGGCGGCTAACAGGGGCCTCGTTCCAGACACCAAGATCGTCTACCGCCGATACGCCTCGCTCTTCTTCATCGCCGGCTGCTCCTCGGACGACAACGAACTGATCACGCTCGAGATCATCCACCGATACGTTGAGCAGATGGACAAGTACTACGGCAATGTCTGCGAGCTCGACATCATCTTCTCCTTTACAAAGGCATACTATATCCTGGACGAGATCCTCCTCGCCGGCGAGATGCAAGAGAGCAGTAAAAAGAACATTTTACGCTGCATAGGACAGCAAGACTCGCTGGAGGACATGGAGGTCAGTTCAAAACAAGTTTCCTTTGTCACTCGAGAATCTCGACTTGGATGTAGACGGACAGATTGCCAAGCCGGCCACGCACGTCTTGATCCTCGTATGACTGACCCAACCCCCCGGGCACTCTCCCCAGGTCGAGGACGAAGTTACAAGGATCATGTAGCATGGTCCAAAGCGTCTTTTATTGCCATATCTACACAGCGTATCTGCATAGGCAACATCAATACTATTGGATCTTGGGAGTACCGAGATTACGTGGCGCCGGCACACGAGGCTGGGTCGCCGGTAAAGACTCATGGCTAATCCGAACCTTGGAACATTGTCTTTATAACAGGATCACGAGCATTTTGTGTCGACCCTCAAGCAATCTGGATTCATGTGAACGTGTACGACCCCACACCGCTTACCACCCGAGTTCTCCATCGATTCACGACCCGACGCCTCGCCGACAGCGACGAGACTCGAGCCAGCGCGGTATGAAGTGAGTGTGCGGCGGGAGCGATACGCGGAGGTACGGGCAAGACTATCCGAGCAGTGCTGGAATGGATACCAACCTAGACCATCTCGGAGAGTGATAAACATTCTCTTTACCTGTGGCAATGGACTAGATAGTTCTTGTGGGGTGCCGCATGGAATGTTGTAGCCGTCAGATCTGACGGGCAGAAGCCACGCTGGCTACCTACCGACCTACATGGTGGATCGGGTTGAGAAGCGATGCGCGACCATGCAGGAGGCAGCTGGATCGGAGCTGAGGAACTAGATGCTTCGTCAAATCCAGCAAAACAACGTTAGAGATACTAATTTGGTCGATCGGCCGGCCCTCGTTCCACATGAGCCGTTATGAGCAGACCTTAGCCTGGGGTTTGCGGTCGAACCGGCACCAAAACCGAGACGGCTGCCCGAAATGACGACACACAAACGGGCACCGATCTGGCAGTCCAAGATGCGCGCATGTGGAAACTGTGGCCATCGCGATTGGCACTTCCATACCAGATGCCCGCCACTGGAACTAACCAAACCGAAAGTTTGTTCAGATTTCTCCAATCCAGAGCGCGTTGACGAGGGACGGTATTCCAACCACGTGCGACTGCGGAAAGCTGCTCGTGCTATTTTGGCCGCACCCCATTCGCCATCGGTTGCGAGCCCGACAGGGCGTGGGTGTGGGGAGCGCTGCGGCGTCAGAGAGTCGCGATTGTGGAAGCTTCCTGCTCCTGAACAAGGTTGCCCATCGTTGAGAGTCGGGCAGCCAGGAAGGCTCAATGGCAGCCAGCAAAGGTAACGGCAAAGATAACGGCAACGACAGACAGGGTGCAAAGAGCACCGTGGCCTTTGGGCGCGACCCGGCTGGCGGGACCCATACTGCCAGCACGCAGCTGCGATGCGGAAATAGGGGTCCATTGGCCAGGGCCGTCAGCTCTGGGCGCTGGCTGCGTGGAGAGTGGTGTGTGGTGGGCACATGAAGGGCAAGGCATGGGCATCTCATGGATCTCATGGCTGCTGCAACTCAATCACTCAACTTGGCAAGCGCCAGGTGTCCCACATCGCATCCCATGTTGCGGCAACATACCGGCTCCTCATTCTATGTGTGCCGCTGCTGTTCCTGTTTCTGTGACAAACAGCCCGACGGCCCCCCGCAATTCCTCAAACGTCCGGCCGCCTCTGATAGCACCATAACACCATCCACCACTCCAACCAGCTCACTCCAGCTCTCTTTGTCTGCTTGACCTGGCCTGGTGTCATCCTAGTAGACGCTACCAGCGCCGCCTGTCTTTCCCCCTCCAACATTCGACACACCACCCAAGACTACTCTCGCATTTCCCAACTCGGTTGCGGTTTCCGTTAGTCAAACCAAACGCGAGCCGCATCCGTCCATCCTGCATTCACCACGACCCGCTTCCCCCGGCTCTCGCTCCACTGTGAGCTCATCGCGCAATCAGCCGACCCCGACACCTGCCCGTCGTCCCAAGAAGCCACGACCGCCTCTCCCCCTGCCATCTCGGCTGCCACCATCATCATCAATCGCCATCATCACCGCCCTCGTTAATCTTATCGCTGTCGCATTCCGCACCCACACGGTCCTCGCACCAGCCGATCTCGCATCCCGTATTTCGCATCGGATTTGAGGAATCGCATATTCCCAATTTCTATCGACGGGCTACGGCTTGAGCGCACCCTGTGTGGTCCATTCTAACATCATTTCTAATCACGGCTCAACACCGTCCCCATTGTGCTCCGCGTAGGGCGCAAATTGCGGTAGTTAACCGCAAACATGAAGGTGCGCACGCTCCTAACGGGCCTCCCCTCGTTCGCGATGGCCTCGCGGCCCGAGGTAACCGGCGTATCTCTACGCTGGACCGACCTCGGATCTCGCTCTGGCATCGACGGCACGAGAGGGGGGCCCCCGGGTTTGACAACTGATATCTCAACCAGTGATGTTTCTAGTTTCTCCCACTCCCCGATTTCGTGACCGTCACGAGCGCCCTGAATTTCGACACGCCGGACTGCCATGTCTCAGGCGGCTGTGACCTCTACACAACCAAATCCACGGGTCAAGACAAGAAGCTGTACAAGAATATCGACAAGTCTCTCGAGAACCAGCACGCCTCGCTCGTAAAGTTTGGCGCAAGCCTCAGCCCACCCCAGCGCGCCGAGATGTCGGCCAGCCTGAATCTGTCGCGCTCCAGCCCGTTCGGATCACTGGCCGACATCTCGAGCCGCCGCACCTTCGCGTACCTGATTGCGACCCTGAACGCGTCCCACCCAGACTACGACTTCTCTCACGTCCTGCGACCGAGCGACTTTAAGCGAGAGAAGAGCCTCAAGAGGGTGATGAACAACCTCGACAGCACACTCGGCAACACGCGTGCGGGCGTTGTCGCCGGCCCGGACTTTTCGCTTTCGCGCAGTTGCAGCTCCGACAACGGCGCGGCAGACCCTGTCTGGGGTCCCCAGACCTGGGCTCTGATCAACAAGCAGATGATGCTTGAGGACTGCACAGTCTTCAGCTACCAGCCGGCCGAGAATCCATTTGATGAGGAGGAGGGCGCCATCTGGATGCTACACTACTTCTTCTTCAACAAGGCGCTGAAGCGCGTGGCGTATCTGCACGCCCGCGGAGTGCCCGTCACCAGCCACAGCCGGCGCGGTGTTCTCGACGGAGCTGGCTACTCAATAGGTGCTCGCCTGCACGGCGCCGGCGCTGCATCTGGGGCATACAACGACGACGATTCGTCGGAGGAGTACGGACCGTTGTCGGCCTCGCTCAAGCGTGGATATAGCGACTTTGCGGGCGCAAACAAGCGCGCAAAGTTCTGGTTCGGTGACCGGGCCGCCAGCCGAGTGCCGGCGGACTCTGACGACGAGATGGACGACGGCATGATCTGGAACCGCACGGCCGATGGCGAGTTCGACGACGGCTACCGAAACTACGACGATGACGACGACGATGATGACGATGTGAGGAACCGCGACGATGATGACACCTCTGAGGAGGAGGGGGATGAGTCCGATACCGACCTGCGGATACCATCCAAGGGCCCCATCCGTGCCGTCAGTGAGGACATTGCGTCTCGCATGGAGATCGAGTGAAGGAAGCCCCCAGCCATCTCATCGCTTTTGATTCACGACTTCTAATCAAAATGCCGGGGGCTCTCTTCCTGTCCACCCCAAGGCCTCCTGTTCAACACTGCGAAGGGGCCCGGCGCTCCATTCGCCACGCCGGATCGAACCAACAAGCCGTACATACAACACAACAGTATGGGCCGTCTATGACTATTAATTACTTGATAGTCTACCCCTTTTCTTGTTCTCTTTTTTCTCATCGAGTTCAACCTTATCCCCTTGTTTTCTTTGCCCTTGTCGTTTGATACCTCGCATACGCTTGTTTGAGATGACTGCTTGTCAACGTTCTGGAGGCTCATATGATGGCCTTCTTTCCTTCTCTCCTACGTATACGCACAGCCGTTTGTTTCTCCTTGGGTTTCCGCGCAACACTCTCAGTTCATGTTTCGAAGGGATCCATTTGGATCGGTGGGGGCGTTCCCAGGGAAGGGGCGGGATACGGCCAGTCACAAGCTCACGATTTCGTTTTGGTTTTGAGTACTTTGTCCATACATTGTGTACTGTAGGTATTCCAAGTGGATGGCCATGGTAACCGCGGGGGTTTGTTTCGGGGTCGCGGCTAGGCAACAGGTTCTGGGAACGGCGGCCGGATTGGGTAATGTACTATTTGCTTCATAGCTCTACAGCCATGGTGCGCGGCGTGTTGGTTGGACTTGTTCATGGTAGTTAGTTACGTTACTGTTATAACCATATTGATCACCCAAGCGGCTCTGGTGAATTTGAATTCGTATGAATCGAGTGATCGTCTTAGCACGTGCACTACCAACTTATGGGGTTTGCAATATCATGGGTCACATTTTGATATATATTTTATCAACATGTACGGTAAGGTGATGCACTCTGTTTCACTGTCGCTGATGTCATTCCTTCAGTGGCTACTTCCATCAACCTCATCAGGTCCAAGGCTATTTTTCTCGCCAACTTGGTGACGAAGGAAGACGTCGCCTGTTAGAAACGACCATAGAACCAGTTTGCAAGGGGTTACTTACCATCGAGGGCGACCAGAAACCTGCTGACACAGTTGTAACAGGCGACCTACAAACGAGAGGAGGGAAAACACCAGCCTTTGTCAGAACCGGCAGGGTCAAGCAGCAAGCACGAATTCCAAATCAGCATCGGGGAACAGGGGGGATATAATCACTTGCCGTGGCGGTGATCTCGACAACCTCACGGTCCGAGAACAGGCTCTTGAGCAGCGTGAACGTGTCGTCGGAGACCCGGACGTTGCGGGTCATCTCGTCCGTGTAGCGCAACACTGCCCACTGCCTATCCGAGAGCAAGCCGTCGGGCGACTTTTCGACGGCCGGGACGGGCCCCTCGGCGCGGACCTGACGCCGCATGGCCTCCTCGGGGACGCCGCCCTCGCGGGCCAGGGGCGCGTGGTGCATCCACTCGTACCAGGCGGTGTTGACGACGGCGACGCGGCAGATGGCCAGCTCGCGCAGGTCGGCGGGCAGCGACGAGCGCGTGCGCACGGCGCCCAGGAACGAGTTCCAGCCGTCGGCCACGGGCGGGCTGTGCAGGAGCGCGAGGTCGAGTGGCTGCAGGGGCCGGGGCGCGCGCCGGGCGGCCACGCGAGCCACGACGGCGGCGTCCTCGGGCGTCGAGGCCGGGGGCGGGTCGGAGACGTAGGGGATGCGCATGTTGGGGGCTGGGGTGATGTGTAGGAGGCGGGTGGTGAGGGGGTGGTGGTGGTGGTGTTTGGATGCTGCGAGGCTTGTTCGGAATAGGAGCTCTGGAAATGGCATGAGACTCTTTATTTTTACTGATGATTTGCGTGGAATAAAAACAGCACCTGAGTCACTACTTGAGCGGCCTTTCACCTCGGAATTGGGGAATCGCACCCCCCTCCTGGGCCGAGCTTCGCGGCGGCTCCCCGCATCTCTGCCGGAGCTAGGTCCGGTATTCGGCGGCGGCAAGTGGATGCACGTCCACGGCCTAAATGCCTTGGTATGGATCAACCATGTTCCTGCGGGTTGGTGCCGGGTTGGTGCTTCAGGAGAATGCCGCTGTTGTGCATATTTTATTCCTTGTTTGTGTGACGGGACGCACCACCCGAGCTGTCCACTGTTTCGTCTCCAATCCCCAATCCTTCGCTACGGGCGGCGCGGTGACGTAAGGACTGGCCGAGATGATCGATTGGGCTCTGGCACGCTAGCAGCTGGGATCGGGTTTTGATCTTGCCTGTCTTTTGGCCTATGGAAATTTGCCATGGCCCCGTTGATTTCAATGCGGGCAATTCGCTCGACTTTCTTTTTCTCTATATCTATGTCCTCCTCCATGTAGCCTCGCTCGCGCTAGGCGTTTTGTCCGCTCAATCTCTTCACAACACAAAGAAAGAAGGAGCGACACCGCCACCCCACAACGGCCCAACTGGCTGGGCCGGTCCTTGTAGCTTCCCCAAGCTTATGCACTACCGAATCTCTTGACCGACCATTTGGCTGGCGCCCGGCCGTTAAAGAGAGCTTCACGTCTCCCATCTCCCATCCACCGCGCTTCAAAGAGTTGACATTGGTTCATTGTCAGCGCCCACAAACCGCCGGCCCCGCGAGGCAGTAGCCATGGCGTCGCCGCCGCCCAGCGTCGTCCCGGCCCAGCTCGGCTTCCTGGCCATTTACAACCCCACCCTGGGCGCGAACGACGACACCATCGAGGACCAGCTCGTCTACTACGCCTCGGTCGGCACCCCCCAGTCCGGCCGCCGCCGCAGGGCCCGCAACCGCTCCACCTCGGCCGTGTCCCAGGAGGAGCGCAATGAGCGCCTGCGCCAGATCGGCCTCGCCCAGGGCATGGTCGAATTCGGCCGCAGCTTCTCGGGCGACCGCCCCGTCGACACGGTCGAGACGGAGAAGTCCAGAGTCATCATGCACGAGCTCGAGCCGGGCTGGTGGATCCTCGCTGTGAGTCGTTTTTGGGTAGCTTCCGTCACGTCGTCGTATTTCCGACATCCAGGCTGACATGGGATGAAAACAAAGTCTATCGACTTGACAAGGCTGCCCGCTCAACAAGGCAAGCAGGCTTCGTCGTCTGCGTCCAAGGGCAAGGGTGCAGACCCCAAGGCAGATGCTGCCGAATACTCCTCCAGGGAGGTCAAGCCGTCGGCGCTGCTGTTGCAGGATCTCATGCGGGCTCACTCTGTCTTCCTACTACACCACGACTCGTCGTTGAGCTCCCTCTTTGTCCGCACGAAGCGTACTAAATTCTCACACCTGATCGGCAGCTACTGGGACATGTTCCTCTCCACCTGGAACGTCATGCTGCACGGCAACCCCATCGTCAACGTCTTCCGTGGCATCAAGGTCGCCGCCTCGGGCGAGCTGGGCATCGGCGTCGGCGAGGAGGAGCGTGGCAGCGGCGAGCGGGAGGTACTCGAGGGATTGATCGGCAGGATAGAGGGCCTCGTCGACCTTGTGGTATCCAAGTTTGGCGATTACAACCCGGAAAGTTCTGCAGAGGCCGAGCCCGCTGCTGCTGCCGCCGCCGCCTCTATGATGGATCCCACAAAGCCACTTGATAAATGGCTCGGGACCGGCGCAGAGCCCGCTGCCGAAGACGGCGCCATATTCCTGGGCACTGGTGCCCTTTCACGGCACTCGCTCAGGAACCTCACGCACTGGATGGAAGATATCTACTCGTTCGGCGAGAATGCATACGGGGTTCGTGAGAGCGCCACTTCTACTCGCCGGACTAGGACGCGCAGGAAGTCGGCCGCCCGTAAGCAGGCGCTGGAGCCCGTTATGCTGCCTCCACCACCTGTCACCGAGCTTGCGCGGCGGGCCAAGCAAGCCTCGCCAACCAGGAAGTCTAGCAGCAAACCCCAGGAACGGGCGGGCCCATCTCCCCCCGCCGCCGGCTCCGCGGGCGCCACGCCCCAAGGCGAGCCTGACAGCACTGGTATGGCCAAGTATGTCGACTATCTTAAGATGGGCTACGGCAAATACTGGTCTATCGGAGGCACTACATCTCCTGAACCGACTGAAGAGCCAACCGCCGGTACCGTCCGAGGCAGTTCCACGTTAGCGTCTCCGGACACCGCCGCTAGTGGCGCACCGATACCAAAGCAACCTCCTCAGGACGAGTCATCAGGTCACTATCTCATTGGTTTGATGGGAGATGTCCAAGGGACCGCCGAGACCAGCGATGACGACTCGGCGGTAGCTGAGGATCCGGAGCACAACTCGCGCACCCTGCTGAGGACAGTGACGGTCGAGCTAGACAGCCCCGAGCTGGAGCGTTCCGAATCGCAGACAATGAAGGACCTGGGGAGCCACGACACGGAGCTCTTCCGGCCCAAATCCTATAATGATGAGTCCACCGAGACAGTATCTCGCCCGGGTACCTCCAGAACCGGATCGTCGACAGCCGCTGGCGGCGGCGGTGCTAGGCGCGAGTCGTTCAACAGCCAGGACCGCAACAAGACGCACAAGTTGCGCATCGTCATCTATGTCAACCGACCCTTCATGTTCGCCTTTTTGTTCCGCTTGCGCACAGACTCGCTCGCCTGGGACGGATTGTACAAGTCGCTGCACTCCCAGCTCGCCCCGCTCCGCCGTCCGCTGCTCAGCTCCACCTCGTATCGACCCGAGAGGCCCGGCGTAGGCGGCGAGGGCGTCGACGGGGTCGCGGCTGGCGTGGGTGGCGGCCCTGCCGTCATATACGACCTCGTTTGGGACCCCAACTCGCTCACCATCCACTCAACCATCCCATCCGTCCCGGACCCGGCGGCGACGTCCATCGGCGGCTCCGTCGCCGCCTGGTCCAGAGTTGAGGCGCTCAACACGCACACGCAAATGCTCAACACATACATCGCCACACGCCACGATCGGTCCGAGCTCGAGCGCACCTGCAAGACCAGCCGCGGCTGGTGGGTGGTGTGGAACAGAGTCACAGAGCGCGAGACGGCCGCCATGCGGGCCGAGGCGGTGGCGGCGGCGGCGGCGGCATCTTCCAACTCGTCTGCACTGTCCGACGACGGCAGCGATTCCGAGGGCCGCTCCGAGGAGACCACAAAGCCCGACAGGGAATCGCTGCGCTCCGTGACCAAGGAGATCTTCCTCATCCGCAAGGCGAGCGATCACCCAGACGCCGGCTCCAGCGGCACTTTTAGGAACGTTAGCAACTCGTACGGGGCTGGCAATTCTGGCAGGTGGGCTGACGGGGCGAGCAGGCTTGCCCAGGGAATCGGCGTGGATACCCGGAAGTACGTTGAGAGCCTCATCAATATGAACCGCTAGTACTAGGTCATCAACATGAGCCGGCAGTAGGAGGTCGGTCATCAGCACGATTCATCAACAAACTAGTCGTAGGATGAATTTTTGGCTCCCACTTCTGGGCACTTTTACTTGTATTCACTGGCAGAAAACAGGACACAATTACACAAGCAACGGAATGATACCAGTGTTCCCAAAGATATCTTTTGTTTGAAACAAGTCCCTATGATATATACATTAGAATCAGAATCTATGGACGCGTCCCAAAGGTCGAATAACCACCTGGCGTTCGCAAACAAAAAAAATCACACAAAAAGTACCACATTCTCCTATTGGACCAGGGCCACCTGTGCGTGGACTCCAACTGACGAGCGCCGTCATGGTAGGGTATAGTCTGGCATAACTGTGAGGGAAATGCTGTTGGCTTGCCCAGGCACAGCACCGTGGAAATTTTTTCTTTCAAGTAAATTCGTCAAACCCGCCACGAGACAAAGCATCTCGGGAGGCCGTTGCAAGGCGAAAAGGGGTCGTCACAAAAAATCCGGGCTCACGATGCGGACGCTGATGGTTCTGATCCTGAGAAGCAACAACGCCCGCCATCGCAGATGCCCCGACGGATGAAGAAGAGGGAAAATTGCGCACTGCTGGCGCATTTACACAACCACACGACCCGGCGCCGGAGAACCCAGCCCCCTTTGCCAAGATGAGCGGGCCACTTAGGAGAGGGTCCAGCTGACGCCGCGGGCACGGCCGATACCAAGATCGCCAAAGAGTCGAGGAAAGCCTTCTCGCTGACGTCGATCTGC